CTCGCTTGACTGACTAATCTTCGGTAAATTGAGGCAGATGTGGAGGCAGATGTGTCCATTTATGAGGGATAAGAGCTCCTCGAGTAGCATCTGAAACCACGCATTACTGTGTACCCCATGACTATTTCTCCCCCGTCAGTTTATCTACACACACAATGGCCAATTAGCTCCACAAATACTTCGTCAGCACTAGTTGGATGCAAGAATTACTTGAGGCAAGCAATGTTCAGCATAAGTTTATTTGCACAAGAATTTCAGAATCATTAAGGTCCAAAACCCAGTTTCCAAGAAGGACAAGTGAACACCACGGTGCAGAACAGTAGACAAGGTTACTGTGACCAATCTCACATTTGGGCTCATCACAAATCCAAATATTTCTAGTACCTTGTTTTGCCAGCTCAAAAAAAAAAAGACTCACTTCTTCCAAAGAGTATGAGACAAATTTTCCAAGAGCTGACTTCTTTTAATAGTAAAAAAATAATATGAGACAAACATAGGAAAAAAAGGCTTTCTAAATTTCAACAGAAAAAGTAATTTCAATCAGGAAGAGACAAGCCCAATCCAGACAACTGGCCTTCTCTTCCAATACAAGTGAGAAGAACCCAAGTGCTCCAACCATTCCCCCTCAAAGCTTCTAAAACTACAGCCCAGCATCCCACCTTGTAACTAGTTTCATGGAAATTAAAGATCAGATACGAAATACACTTCATCTCATTTAACAAATGGTTGAATAAGACTCGGATGCAAAGGCTAGAAGTATTACTGTCCCTTTGGCTCTCTCAATGCCCAGAGGAGACCAAGTTGCCAGTAACTATGGTCCACTTACTGCTTATTCCTGTGCCTGACGATTAGAGCACTCTGATTGCATAAGTTGAGTGAGAGGGATAGCAAACAAGTACCACCAGTACCCTGACAGCTTAGAATTGGAGCAATTTGTCCAAGTTCTCTTCTCAGATGCCTCTTCCCAAGCACTCACACTGTGATACGCAAGGATCACCACCAGCATGAGTAGTTACTCAAGAGATCAGAAACCCACTAAGCCTAGGCACAAAACATAGCAAATGCTTAACCCTAGAACTCAATCCCAAAATACAGGTCTTGAAGTTTCAATAAAAAGTTTTAGGTATTCAACTAAATTTAAATACTACCTACTGCTTTCCAGACAAGATCTTAAAATAAAGTGTGAGCATCTTTTGAAAAAAATGGTTCTTTAAAAGCAAGCAGTAGTCTTCAACTTCCAGCTTAGTGACTGACTGACCGAGCAGAGGACAAACACAGCAACAACTAATCTCGAGCTGAGGGAGCACGAAGTATGCTTTACCTTACAGCTCTTCAGAGTGACCAACGGATCAGCAGAGGGATTTTACCAAAGTGACTAAAACCCAGCTCCTACTAGGTCTCCTTGGTAGCATCTTTGTCAAATGAAAAATAACTTATGACGAGGAACTCGCACCAATAAACTGTAAGTCGAGGGAGACCTGGCAATAAATATTGACAACAGCTGCTAACCTCAGTCAGAGCTCACGAGCTGCAGGAAGAAACCAGCAATTTTAAACCACAGTCTAGTTTACCAGAAGCCCAGTCCTGAGGACTGGTGCACTGATACCAGACCTGCAGCCTAGTGTTAATGCAGCTTTGTTTCGAGGCACTGCCCGGGGGAAGGTGCTAGGGTGACAGTCTAGAGTGGAGTAGGCTTTCCCCAACCTCCACTCGGCACATGGGCGAGTGGCAGAGGACAGAGCAGGTTTGCAGAGGCATCGTTTGGTACGGAAGGGAACTGGACCAAGCAGGCAGCTTAGACTGGGCCTAGGATCATCACTAGTGACTCTTACCTAGCGCTCATTCTCACGTCGCTCTTTGCTACAAGGGCCACCATAAACCCCAAGTTGAACCAGTCAGCACACACCAGGTTAAGTCGCTGACACACGCGACATCAGGCTGCTAGGACAACTCGAAACAGAAAGAGGTAGACTGCTCGCAGCACAGTGATGAGAAGCTACCCAGCATTCCGGCTCTGCCTGCCAAGCCACGACCATTTTGAAGGAAATGGTGTGTCCCAGCAATCCGTACACAGTGGGGCCAACGCAGTAGGCAGTGTGCAGCTTCAGGAGATGGTTTAACCATTCAAGCTTAAGGTCCAGCAGCCCGGCTACAAAGTGACGGCGTTTCGAACATGTCGGAGCAGCTCACAGCCGGGCAGGGAACGCAGGAGGCCTGCAAAGCTTAAAGCCAGGAAGGGAGCTGCTCGGAGAGCAGCCGTTCGATGTAAAGCTTCCTTAAAGGCCCCAGCAGCACGTTACGTCAGCAAAAGCACCATATTTATGGCAGGAAGTTTAAACGCTCCATGGCTCACTCTTTTACAGCCTTTTTTTCCTAGCACTTCCTTTTCCAGTGGATGCACCTGGCCTGACGTTCAGCAGCCAAGGCATTCAAAGACTAGGAAAACATAAGCCCCTTTGTTTCAAGCTTGTAAGGTCTCCTCCCGAGCACCTGACCACTTCTTCCACAAGAGCTGATGAAGAGGAACAGTTTCTAAAGATCAGCCATGAGATCACACGTGACAGATGCACGAGTCTAAGCTACTCGAAATGCACATCAGATGTGTCCCTCTAGGCAATGGCTTACTTCTGCAGTGGGGATAGCTTAGGTTGGCTTTAGAAACAGCTACTTAAGAGATGGCACCAGTTGCAAACTCCTAAGCAGAGGACTTCCTTCCTTCTAGTGACGCTCTATTCTATGCCAGGTATTGCCTCGCACGCAGAAGTTACTCATGCCCAGGTTTGCACTCCCCCAGAAAGCTTGCACTAAGTTTAACACACATGACAACACTGGCATCATGTTAGTGCTTAAAAAGCCTCCCAGATAGTCAAAGTCTTGGGTGAGAGATGCCTTGTGTGTAAGCCACACCAAGCCCAAGCCACCGCCCATGAAAAAGGCTGGGTTCACTTTCAAGCGTGGCTACTTTGACTGACGACTCCGGAAGCCTTTAATGAAAAAAAAAAACCACAACAGAAGACACCAAATTATTTGTCTACTTGCAACTGAAGTTGCTTGCAAGACTGTTCAAAGCAATAAAGCTAAAGCACGCTTTGCTCCACTCTGCTTTCTCGCTCGCATCCCTCGCTGCCCTCTGAGCTAAACGAAGAATTCCGAACAAACCGTTAGCGCCACTGCTGCACGGAGGGAGTCTTTGTGAAGCTGGTACGGAAAGCGAGAGAACCTGCAATGTAGCTAGAAGTTTTTGGTCCTGTGAGGCACAGGCAGGGTTTTTACTGCCATTAATCACTGCACTGCTCCTGTTTTCCACCCTGAACACCAACCACACGTCGGTGTTTCACCCGCTTTCTGCTTTACCTTCTAAGCTCGAATCGTTGGTTTGATCAGGCACTTTGGTCTCACAAGTCTGTAGCTACAAGTCACAAAAAGGTTTAGCAAACAAGTATTTTTGAACACTGCACCAGTACATACTAACCAGCTCCAAGATTCACCTCTCCAGGCTACTTCTCTGGTTAACAAAGGAAACTCAGGATCATTTGCTGTACGTATTTTACCATCGCAGTTCAGTGAAAATCACCCAGTTAATAGTTCTAATACCGCTATACACGTAACTGCGGAATTTTTAACCTTCCTTACAAAGCACAGGAGCTTCAGAGCAGCCAGTCCAGCACATACCCCCTCAGGCAGGTCAGTACCCTACACCTCCGAGGGAGTACACACTCTTCCAGAGGCTACTCTAAAACCACGCAGACATTCAACACACACAGCTTCTGTGGAGGGCCCTGCTTAGCTTTTACACACCTCTTCAAGTGAGAATTCAGACCAGTAAAGAGGAAAAGTTTTACTCTAACCATGCAAAATACCATCTCATACAGTGACCAGGTGATAGTGACAAACCAGTGAGCTCAACCCTTAAGCAGCGACAGAAAGACAAGCCTTCAGGACCCGCCTGAAGTTGTGCAAGAAGAAATTCCTTTTAGGAGGCACTTTAAGAGTTTACACCATGGCAGGAGTGCACATCATCCTGCAGCTTACAGTGGTTTGGGGTTTTTTTTATTTTGATGGGTTTTTTTGGTGGTTTCCCCCCCCAGCCCGCCCCGCTCGCTGTGGACCTGTGAGGAAGAAAGTTGGGTCAAACCTCAGTGTAAGAGCTGTGCTGCTTTCAACTACGTCAAAAATTGTTTTGAAAGATGCAGTCAGAAAGGCTTTCTCTTGAGCCTAGACTCAACAGTATTTTTTCAATCCTAACTATTCAAATTGTGGTTCCAGTTCTATTTAAGGCTTCGATTCCTCATTTCAAGGACTTTTCACATTACCAAGTTTTAGATCGTGTTTTGGTGCATGTTTAGAGATGCCACCTTCCAAATTTTTGTACTCAACAAAAGTTTAGCCAGCTTATGCTTTAGAGATAGACTTACTAATCCATCTTCAACTTCCAAGAAGTTAATCTTGAACTTGAGGCGGGACCATATATCCTTAAGTACTACAGGAAACAACATTAAGGCCCTCTATGAGAGACAGTATCCATACAGTTACCAGTTCAACATAGCCAGAAAGCAGCAGCAGCCCAAGCACGACATGAGCCCACTCTTGCACAGTTAGTTCAACAGAGAGTTGGCCAGAACTTGGGCTGAGGAAGTACAGAGGAGTGAGGTTAGGCGATAGAAAGCAGAGTTTTGCGGCTTCTGCTCAAGGCATTTTACAGTCTTTCCTCTGTTAACTAACCCAGTTTGTGGAATACTCTGCTTAAATCACACATTAACAGCCATTTCCAGAACTAGTACAGAGTTTTGTAACTACTCCTCTAATGGTTCTCTTCCCCAATGAAGAGGTAATATGGCTTCTTGGCATTTGTAGAAATACACTGAAAGGTTTGTAGCAGGTCACCAGGAAACAGATAGTCCAATGTGGTCATTTTTCCAGTAGAAAACCTCCAACTGACAGTTATTAGTTATCTATAAACACTCGGCATCTTGGCCCTCAGTGGCCTCCATTCAAGAACGCTCAAGCGAAGCGATCAATTGCAAGGCAACCAAGTGGGGTAGGACTGGCCGTACGGCACAGGAGCATTTGCAAGATAGTAGTTGCTGAAGTTCACATCACTAACATAAGGTGCTGGCTGGTAGTAGCAGGTAACGTTTGTGGCATTAGGAATGATGTTTTGTTCTGCCAGTACTTTGAGCGCCAGCAGAGAAATCAAGTTGAGAGTCTGCCTTCGCTCGTGTCCCATGAGACAGACTGTGCTCTCATTCACCACCCGGCGCAGAATCATCAGGTAGTCGTATTTGCTCCTCTCTTCCTTGGAGAAGTGGTTCTGGAGGTAGGTCTCTAGTTTGCGCTGCTGATCCAGGATGTCTGGGAAGTCTATGAAGAATCGGGAGCACATGTAGCGCTCTAATGTTTTGATCTCATCCTTATCCATGGGCCTGAAGTCTCGTACTAAGAGGTTACTATACTTCAGAAGCCCACCACCTCGGATCTCTTCAGGATTTTTGGTAGCTATCAGCTTGTTCTGGAGGTGATCAAAAGCTGCTTCAAAGTCTCCATACATGCTCTCCCCAATCACAGTTGGATGGAAGTGCTCCGACATGGGGGTTTCAGAGTAGTCATAGTAGAAGAGCAGGGAGTCCAGTATGATTTGGAAAGAGTCCACACTGAACTCAAACTGTCGTCGTATACAGTCTACAAATTTCAGCTCCACGTTCTTGCCATGTTTGTTAGAAAGTGATATCAAGCTCCAACGGTCAGACTCCGTGTACACTTTGACTAGCTTCTGGATGTAGGCTTCCTTCAGCGTGACTGGACTGATCTTTAGCTTGCTTACTCCTTCTGGCAAGAAATTCAAGAGAGATCGCAAGACCACATCTCGAACTAACTGAAACTCTGCCTCGCTTGGAAGGGAAACTTGAAAAATGAGATCCAGGTCTTTGCACCCCAGTCCATTATCCTTGACCAGGACATGACCGGCTGCAGAGCCATTCAGACGGACATCGTGTACCACAATGCCTGCTTCACTCAGCCTGCCCCGCACGGTCTGAACAATGTCCTTCAGAGTTATCTTCAGCGTCGGGAAGTTACCTCGTCCATGGATCAGAACCACCTCTGTAAGAACCTCATGCAGACGGCTGACCTGCTCCCAGTTCAGTACACTGCATGACATGCAGTCTGTGTTACTTCCTTTGCCTGCCATCTTAAGGTTTTTCTTCTCCAAAGAAACTGTAGGGAGGTGCAATGAAAAAAAAGACAAGTCAGACTTTTACACTTCCCAGATATATCCTGTGCTCTGCTTTTCTGTCTACATATATAGATGCAAACTAGAAAGAAATAATTCTGTGTACTAATGATTATCAGCAAGCCTTTCACCCGAAACAATACTCAGCTTCTCTACTGGTACAGGCAGAAAATTTAGTTGTCATTGTCCTTCTTTTTGGTGAGACAGCATCAAGTACTTCAGCAAAGCAGTTTGTGTCCAAGCAAAATTATCAAAGGTGACACATAAGGTTTGCCCAAGTTTAACATCACCTGCAGCACCAGCTGAAGCCAGTGAGAGCCACAACTGCAAAGCACTTCTGAAAGTTAAGCTTTGAGCTTGCTTCATTATACATAAAGCTCAAACTGCTCACTTGAACTCACAGCAGTGGAAGACACTCAGGTGTTAGTTTCAGGGCTTAGACATCCAGCCCACTGAAAGCGCTTTAATCCTGCCAGAGACACAAGATTTCTTCCTTTTTGTAGAAGTTTTTCTGTCCTCAAACACCCAGCATCTACCACTCATAGGACAATGGCCAAAGACACCTTGCTCCTGCAAAAAGCTGTAGCACTTCAGTATCCTAGACAGGATTTCAGCTGCAAAGTCAGATAAATTTGCACTCCAGTCTCTGTAAGCAACTCTACCCTTCTTCAGATACATTCACACTTGCCCCAAGCTTTTGCTCATCTGTGGAGGGCAAACAAGCCTGTAGGAGCAGGCATGTAGTCAGATAACATATATCATGCTAGTGTTACTCTGACACTAAGGACTTTAGAACCCCACTGATCGGACTTGGTCACAGCCTAGTTTGAACTTCTTAGAGGGTCTTGTCACAGCTGACCAGATCATTCTCTTGTGCTTAAGTGGATCGTGGTTTTGAATTATGCAGATACTTACATATGTTCTACAGTCACCCAACTCCAACTGCTATTAATACACTTCTCTTTCTAAGCATTCCAGGTTTCTGTTGTGGCCAGGTGCTTCCTGACAGCTACAGACTAATTGAGGCCTCACCTTCTGCCCTAAGTGCTTGTGAAGACTGCAGCTGCCAAGGTCAGACCCATCAGACTTAAGCCAGTTAACTCTTGCCTACCAAGAATTGTTTATAGACCCAACCGTACAGTTCCCTAACATGCCTCACCACAGTGCATGGAACACTTTTTAAGCAAGATTCAAAGAGGAGCTATTGTCATTTCATGCCTGTCCTCTTCCAGCTTTTAATTTTTGAGCAGCTCACTTGACCTGTTACCTCCTCTACAGAAGAGAGTCAAATCCTAGATAAAACATACAGCAGGATAAAAACGCTCCTGGTTTTTGCCAGTTTCCGCCCTCGAGCACGAGCTGCTGCATTACAAGCTCTGCTGCTGTGGGTCACCTCAGCTCCTGCAGGCACAAAACAAGCCTGCCATTCGTAAGATGACTAGTCCTGGACAAATCAAGAGGTTCTTCAAACTCAACCCTTACGGCTGCATAAACCCAGAGGCATCAAGCCTGCCAGCAGTTGCCCTCGGGCACTTCAAACACTTTCAAGTGCATTTTCGTCTTAAACCCACTGTATTCTCACTAAATCCTTCAGACCGCTACAGAACACAAGAGGCTTCCATGACTTCTAGCTTGAGCTGCAAGTGCTTTCCGCTACGACCCCTGAAAGCGTTCCCTCTCGTCCTTCCCATCCGCAGCCTTCTCAGCAGTCAAGGCAGCAGGGACAGCCCACCCAGCGACCAGAAGGGACTGGGAGCACCACTCCCCACCACGCACACTCGGCTCTGCTCGGTGACCCTCATCGGGGGGTGAGGTGCACTGCCGCCCTTGTGAGGGGAAGAGGAAGGATTTCATTCCCAGCTCAGTGGAGAGTTAATCCTCAGGCTGCC